GCAGCATATTTAAACAATTTTCATTATTAATACTATATGGCCATGTACACTATTTGGAGCGTTTGAAAAACCTCTGACGTTAGTTGACAGACAGAATCAACCAATTTCTATGTAGATGAAGCAGCTCTCGAGTCGTCTTTACATACCAGACAATGCATATCAAACAAGTACGTGACGTCTCAATTGTTGATGTATCTGACATGTTGTTTTTACTTGAATATGTTTAGCGTTTTCTCATATACCGATTTGTTATCGGTCTCTTGACTAACTTGAGGCTATTTAGTCATTAACCGTCAATTATTTCTTAAGTGTGGAGACAATTACAGCTGTACCCAATGCAACATTGCCTTGTTCATTTGTGCTATCATATGAAGATCAAAGTACTCATTCTGCACATTTTGGACCATTGTTGTTGAATTTTAGCGTAGATAAACACTCATGAAGTTTAGTTGCTCTCGTCCTTAAATCACCGCAGTGAATAATCAGTCATCTCACGAAGGTTGACGAGATTGACTAAAAATTCACGGTTTGGGTTTTTATTGTGTTGGAACAAAGCTTAAATTCTACAATTATGGAGTCTACCCAAACAGACGAGGTTACATTCAAATTTGGACCATTGTTCTGTTTCGTTCATAAAAGAGAAATCACAGTACATAAGGCACACAACCAATTTTCCACTACAGATCTACAAGAACTAAAATATCTAAACTGAAATGACTCTCTTTAATTTAAGTGCTAGTAGAGTAATATGGAGATGCGAAGAACGTTCTGTACTTACGATGAGGCTTCTGAAATTTTCGAAATCGGCTTGTCTGCAGGACGGAGTGACGCACAATTGAGACTCCGTGCCGAGGGATGATATATGTATTGAAAAAACATATTTCCTAGAAGTTTTTTTATTCAAGTAAGACAGAGCGTACAGCCATATAGTGGTGATGCACTCAAGTTCTAGCACTTATATTAACGCCACCAATGGCATAAACAACAAAGGAATACATTTACACAGACACTGTGGTCAAAATCTGTTGTGGTTTGAATTCGTAAAGAACAATAATTTCTAAAAAGTCTTTGAATCTAGAAATCCCCATGTCGCCCCGGCCCTCCTCAAGTGGACTTGCCCAATTTCTTTGTAGACGTGGGTAGACCGTAGAGGCTTCGAAGAAGGTAGACTATACACGTATTATTTCCACACTCACGTACCATTATTTCCACACTAACATGCCATTATTTCCACACTCACATACCATTATTTCCACACTCACATACCATTATTTCCACGCTCACGTATCATTATTTCCACACTCACATACCATTATTTCCACGCTCACGTACCATTATTTCCACACTCACATACCATTAGTTCCACGCTTACGTACCATTATTTCCACACTCACGTACCATTATTTCCACGCTCACGTACCATTATTTCCACACTCACATACCATTATTTCAACGCTTACGTACCATTATTTCCACACTCACATACCATTATTTCAACGCTTACGTACCATTATTTCCACACTCACATTATATAGTCACATACCATTATTTCCACACTTACGTACCATTATTTCCCCAATTACGTAACATTATTTTCACCCTCACGTACGCACTTCTCATCAGCATAGGTGGCAAGGCTAATGTGGTTACGGTTGTTGTTTTGAAATCTAAAGATTTGGGGTTTGAATCTGTAGCAGGATTAAGATATGCCTCGCTCTTACACGTACTGCCCTTACGTTTTTTCCATGATCAAGTCTTTATACCACATTTGCTACACACGTTGTTTACGTGCGAGAACGTGTCCAAATGGATAAGTGGTGCTTCGAATCATCTCCTCGTGTTTTTGTTTTTTCTTCGACCCACCTGGAATAAAGGAAACCCGCTGAGCTTGTTCATCATCAGGCCTTCTGTCAACTGCGACCTTCACAACTTCAGGCAGGTCAAATACAGAGTTTCTTTTAGTAGACAAGCATTTCATATTGTTCAACTACTGCGCTAATCTACAGATGCTGACTGGACCTTCTTGATAAGTATCTTCAACTTATTTGATTTTGTTTTGTTTTGTTTCGTCCTCTCTTACAGGAAACAGTTGTCATCCTGTACTGCGACGAGCAGCTACAGGACGAGAGGATATTCTGCTGCACAAGTGCCCACGCGAAAAACACAGTTCAAACCGAAGCGCCTGGTGATCATATAATATAGTGCGTGAAAGAGCGAGGCGTATCTTTCCGAGTACTTTTCGGAGGGCACAAATTTCGTGCCTGCTAGAGATTAAACCCCAAAAATCTTTGACGTGAGTGTGATATTAATGGTACGTTAGTGTGGAAATATATGGTACGTGAGTGTGGAAATAATGGTACGTGAGTGTGGAAATAATGGTACGTGACTGTGGACATAAAGGTACGTGAGTGTGGAAATAATGGTACGTCAGTGTGGAAATAATGGTACATGACTGTGGACATAATGGTACGTCAGTGTGGAAATAATGGTACATGAGTGTGGAAATAACGGTACGTGTATGTACATGTGGAAATAATGGTATGTGAGTGTGGAAATAATGGTACGTGAGTGTGGAATATGTACGTGAGTGTGGAAATAATGGTACATGACTGTGGACATAATGGTACGTGAGCGTGGAAATAATGGTATGTGAGTGTGGAAATAATGGTACGTGAGTGTGGAAATAATGGTACGTCAGTGTGGAAATAATGGTACGTGAGTGTGGAAATAATGGTGAGTGTGGAAATAATGGTACATGACTATGGACATAATGGTACGTGAGCGTGGAAATAATGGTATGTGAGTGTGGAAATAATGGTACGTAAGTGTGGAAATAATGGTACGTCAGTGTGGAAATAATGGTACGTCAGTGTGGAAATAATGGTACGTGAGTGTGGAAATAATGGTACATGACTATGGACATAATGGTACGTGAGCGTGGAAATAATGGTATGTGAGTGTGGAAATAATGGTACGTGAGTGTGGAAATAATGGTACGTGAGTGTGGAAATAATGGTACATGACTGTGGACATAATGGTACGTGAGCGTGGACATAATGGTATGTGAGTGTGGAAATAATGGTACGTGAGTGTGGAAATAATGGTACGTCACTGTGGAAATAATGGTACGTGAGTGTGGAAATAATGGTACGTGAGTGTGGAAATAATGGTACATGACTGTGGACATAATGGTACGTGAGTGTGGAAATAATACGCGTAAAGTCTACCAGCTCCCAAACCTCCGCCCACGTCTACAGAATAAGAAATTGGGCAAGTCCACTTGAACTCCTTCCAGAGAAGGGGCAGCATGGGGAATTCTAGATTCAAAGGCTTTTTAGAAATTATTTTTCTTTACGAATTCAAACCACTTTTCTATACACGCCCTACATTTAACTCTTATAACAGATTTTGACCACCGTGTCTGTGTAAATGTATTCCTTTGCTGTTTATGCCATTGGTGGCGTTAATACAAGGGCTAGCACTTGAGCTAGCATCACCACTATATGGCTGTATGCGCTGTCTTATTTGAATAAAACAACTTCTAGGAAATATGTTTTTTCAATACATATGTCATCTCTCGGCACGGAGTCTCAATTGTGCGCCGTTCCGTCCTGCAGACAAGCCGCTTTCAGAAGCCTCATCGTAAGTACAGAACGTTCGTCACATCTCCATATTACTGAACTAACACTTAAATTAAAGAGAGTTATTCCAGTTTGAATATTTTAGTTCTTGTCAATCTGCAGTAGAAAATTGCTTGTGTGCCATATGTACACTGTGATTTCTCTTTCATGAACGAAACAGAACAATGGTCCAAATTCGAATGTAAGCTCGTCTGTTTGGGTAGACTCCATAATTGTAAAAGCTTTGTTCTAACACAATAAAAACCCAAACCGTGAATTTTTAGTCAATCTTGTCAACCTCCTACAGATGGCTGATGATTCACTTTGCTTACTTTTCGGACGAGAGCAACTAAAATTCATGGTGAGTGTTTCTCTACGCCAAAATTCAACAACAATGGTCCAAAATGTGCACAATGAGTACTTCGATCTTTATATTATCTTTTAAACGAACAAGCCTAGTTTTAAACATGACTGTTGGCATAAAACTACTCAAGAAGGCAATGTTGCATTCGGTAGGTGTAATTTTATTTTCATCACACTAAGGCCATGTTGATTTGATTATATGGTTGACATCCGCGCCCGCATTAGTTTTCGGCCATTTGGCCATTCCAAAAAG